GGTCCGCGTCCCTCGCTAAAGGTGACTCCTCACGCGGGGACGGCGGAGTCCACTCCACCTCTTGTGAGAGCCCCGCGCTGCATGTGGCACGCAGCCAGACACCTCGTGCATGAGTCCGCCGCTGTGTGCGTGGCGTGCCCGTGCGTGTCACTGTGGGAGCAGGGGCCCACCGCACTCGCGCACGCCGTCTGGCCTGGACTATCCGCGTAAACACAGCGTCTTCTAGTGGTCACCGCAAATACTGACACATCTTAAAATGGCCACTTGTGCTGGTGGACACTGCAGCACGGCGGCGGCGGCACCCCCCCCCCTTCCCCCCCCCCCTATTCCCACGCCCCCCCCCCCCCCCCCAGCAGCCGCCACACGGGGCTGTTTACTCATTACCTCTGTCCACTGTTAATCCATAGACACACCGCTCTGCCTCTCCGCCAACAGAGGTGAAGTTGTTCGCCAAAGTGCGTTTGATCCTGTGGCTGGAAAACAAACAAATGCTAGAGTCTGTGACCCCCCCCAAGGAAGCCGCCCCGAAAAGTAACACACGAGAAAGCCTCCGAATCAGATCACTCCAGTTTTATTCAGAAGAAATCAGAACTGAACAACACATCGTAACAGACACTGCAGCCAGTACAAAAGGAGACTAACCAAAAAGCAACACACGTCATCCACAGAGAGAGTTTCTGAACACTTGACAGATTAAATACGGGCTCCCTCAGGTAGCAGACACTAACTGGGAACAGGGATAGTGTTTCAACGCGCGTCATGGTCGCAGACTATCATGTCCTAATCTGACCAAGCGGCTCCTAACGCGGCTCCATGTGTGCGTCCGGACTCCGGGGGCTGCAGATTTTAATACCAGGCCTCTGCTGAATTCAAATTGAAAGTATTGACCGGGCGAGGAGACGAGCTGCCGGCAATCGCGGTTCAACAACCTGGCCGAACACCCGTGGGAGTCAAGATGGAGGGTGCAGATCGGTTAGGTGACACCAGACCGGAGGGTACAGTGCCTGCGTGGTGACGATTTTCAGTTCTTTTGGGTCCGGTGATAATTTGAGTCTTGGCACCGAGT